CCCCTTTTTTTTTCTCTTTTTCTTTCACAGTGTGTATGAACTTTTTCCGAAGAAACTATCTTTTTAAGCATGAAGTGTACATTTAGTGTTTTTCAATTTATCCGATTTTCCAGCTGCTGGACGAGAGGCAAAGCACAAACGTGTTGCGTTTTCTTCAAGCAATAGATAGGTAAAAGGTTTAGTTAATAGAAATTTATCACTTTTGCATGGATGGTTGAGATTTATTATATGTTAATATCTTCTCTTTGCTTGAACAGGAGGCCCGACATTACTAATGGCTTGAGGACCCTGAGATGTCGAACCCTGATATTTGTGGGAGATGGTTCTCCTTTTTATGCAGAGGCTCTCCACATGATCGATAAACTGGACAGAAGATTCAGTGCCTTAGTTGAGGTATGTGACAAACATGCATTTAGCTTACATGGAAATAAAATACAAAGAATACATTTTGTACGCGATACCTAGAATATTGGAGAATAATATGTTTAGAGAAACGAAGGTCATTTACCTTAAAAAAAAAAAATGAAAATGAGTAATTGAAGAAATGATACTTCAGAAGCATTCGATCTCATTTACAATTGATTATTGTAATTTTTCTTTGGGGTGGCAGGATATTTGTAGCTTTAAGAGATAACAAAATCATTTGATCTTTTATTTTATATCAGGCTAAATCTTGTGACTATTTTTGTATATGAACTAAATATACATTTGGTATGAACTGAATATCTATTTTAATGAACTAAATGTGCAACAATCATATCAACTAATTATGTATTGTTTATGAACTAAATGTGCACTTCGTATGAACTATATATGTATGCTAAATATGCTTTTTTTATGAACTAAATTTGCATTGTGTATGAAGTAATAATAGCTTTAAGAGATAACAAAAACCCTTAATCTTTTATCTAAATCAGGCTAAATCTTATGACTATTTTTGTTATACTCTACCCCTTCAATTCCTTCACATTTTGGATTTGGTGAACTCCAGGCTATAATTTTGGTCTTAGATTACAAAGTCTAACATATTTAGTCTTGTATGGAGACCAATGGCTTTATAGATTAGTGCTCGTAGGAATTGCAAAAGCTGTGCTAACCTAAGAATGAAATTTTGTTAGGTACAAGCTTGTGGATCAATGGTCACGGAAGAGCAGCCACAGGCAATGCTAACGTCTTTGGAATATTTTCTCATGGGCTACGGATTGTATCGACCCAGTCAGTTTAGCGGCAGCCCGAGAAGCCCGCTAAGCCCGACATGTATTGCACCAGAACTCTTGTCTCCAGAAAGCATGGGATTGAAGCTAAAGCCGATCAAGACTCGCCTCTCTTCACAAAGATGATATTACTTCATTGGATTCATTAATTTGTTTTTTTTGTTTTGTTTTTTTTTTT